AGGTACATGCAATCCTCAATCATAAATCAGATAAACAAATTCTCATTAATTCTTTAAATACCAGAGAAAGCATCAACACACGCAAATATTTTATCAGCACAGAAATCTAACCTCTAATGTTTAGATTTGCAGATGCATGGAGAAGTCTTAGTGAGATGTCAAACTTAGAAAACAGCACTTATGGTGAGAATAATCAAGCATAGTTTTCATTTCTTGGTATTTCCTATTGTATCTCACATCCTCCTCTACTGCAGTCTCCCATTTACTAGAAGATAAATTGGAAAAGTTATCTGAACAAATTACTTTTTTTAAAAAATAAGATGCTTATCTGTACTGTTGAGATGTGTGCATGTTTTGGTGGAGTTTTTCCTTCTTACATATATTTCTTTCATCAAAAACAGCTCCATAATTAAAAAAGCTCTTCTCTCTTGTATGGCAGCTGTTTAACTCATCTGAAGCTTGTAAATATTTTAACAGTATCTACTGACAACATTTGGATTCAGGCATTAAGCTACAATGCTGTTCAGTGGGCAGCTGGCAAAGCCTTCCTCCCATTTCTGTATTACGGCACAAACATCCTGCATATTTGAGTTGATTCTGCAATATTCTTTTCAGGACACATGCTACCCCCAGATCTGAGCCAGACGAACAAATTAAAAGTGCCATAACTCAGATACCACACAACAGCCCAGTGTTTGTTAAACTCAGTCTTATATTAGTACATCAACACACAGAACCAGAAGCCTCTGTTTCTAGCTTTGTGATAAATCATTCCATTTAAGAGGCACTTGGTTCTTTCATTTCAGTAAAAGCTTGATCCGAAATACATTTGTTGGTATGTTCAGAACTGGATGTTTCTCATTAATTACATAAAGTACTAATCCAAAAACCTGTGGACATGTAGGAATTTCAACCTCATGCTGGACACCAGTAAGACCTTGAATCTTACAGCAAAAGCATGGACAAAACTCAGACAGTTCTTTATCTAAAAGTAGTGGCTACAAATATGTATTGCCAAATATATTATAAAATGATAAGACACCAAAGTAATTTCTCCATAGCTTGCAAAATGTTACAGTTTTCTTACTTCTCTGTCTGAGCAGATTTATCTGCTATCTCATTTCAACCCAAAGTCTGCATTCTTTGTGGCAGAGTCCCTGTTCTGTGTCTGAGCAACCATTAGCACGAGGTCACCCTGGGCCATAATTAAGGAAGGTAATGGCTACTCTAAGTTGAGAGACTAATGTCTTGTAGATAGATATGAAAAGTTCTGTATTTGTATCAGAATTATGTTAGATCTTTGACTATGAGACATCTCTTTAAATAGCAGACAGTAAATTCAGAATTGAAGACCAACTGTTCTTGTTTATCTATATCCATTCTTAGTTCAGCATCTCAAATACAGAACAAAGATACTTTCACCAACACAGGGCCACAAGTGACTTGTTCGCACTCTTTTACAACTTAAACCTCTGCATTCTGACGAGTGTATTTAAAACAATCTGCAGAAAATGTATTTTACACAGCAATTGTTTAATAAATCTCCACTCACTAGTTTTAGCAGAGGCATGAATTTACATGACAAGTGACTTGTGAAAAACTACTTCTACCGAACATTCGGTTTGCTCAAGCATTCATTTAGCTGTAAGCTGAATACTTCTTTATCTAATGTAACAAAGGCTATATATAGTGATGTGATATGAATCACTGGCAAATCAGCAATTGCACAAAAAGGAAGACAAGTGCAAGCTAAGTCAGGATGAGATCATATTTGGGATGCAAAGGTCAGTGTTTCACACGGGGCTTACAGTTTAAGGTCAAATATTATATTCTTGCTGAATTACATGCATCTCACTACAACTAAGCGTAATTTTGCTAAAACAACATTTCTTTGAGAAACACACTACAAGATCATTTAGATGAGCAAACTCAGTTCAGTCACACTGCTTTACACAGCCCTACAATAATCATGTTTCAAAGTTGATCTGATCATAAACTTTTTTAGTTTATTTACAAATACTCTCCAATTTTATACAGGAGCAGAGGTTAAAAACCTCTTACAAGCAAAAACTCATGTTATTTAATATGAACTGATGAACCATCCCTTGATAATGTCATAATACTCCTCCAGAAGGTATATATTTGCTGTCACTTGCTGAACACGACATTAAATGCCCCAATGTTTTGATGTAGGTGACCAAGGGATTCAGCTGAACTATAAAATATTGTCTGGGAGGCAGTACTTTGTAAAACAGTGGGGGAAAGACGCTGACAATACGGCAGGATCCCTTTTGTCAGTGACAGCCAGTTAGTAGTAGGTCAGCTTAGCAAACTGTATCACCACACAGTGAGAAAACTGGTATGTTCTTGCTCCAAGCCAACTTTTTTGGCTATCAAGATCACCCTCTTTTTATGTTAGTTTTGGCCCAACACAAGGTGGCTGATGTTAACAGAATTCCCTCCAAGGAGCACACACTTGAAAGGATCCAACGGCACATAAATTTATTCTCACAATGCAAGGTCAAATTTATCTCAATTCTATACACCATGTTAGGATTAAGACAAGGGAACGGGGAATGAATGGAAATTATTCTCTTTCACAGACTCTTCTCACAGCACAGAGTACACATTAATTTAAATGACCTGTTTAGTCCTCATAATACAAATGTAAGTTTAACTCAGGACAACTAAACGCACATGTTTATATGTTAAAGCTTCAAAGTATTTGCAATGCAATGGTCTTCCAACCATTGAGACAGTCATGTAATTACAGAAAAGCTAGCACTGCTAGCACATCACAGTTTGTAGCACTCCACTCATCACAGTGGTCTGCTCCTGACTAACGCCACTATTTTCTCATTGAAGTCTTCTGATTCCTGTAAGGCAGCCTATGAGGACCCCAGATGATGAAAAAATAACTCGAAGTAACAGGACTTTAACCATGTTAGGACATTTTTAGGATAATGCATATAGTCACATATAATGTTTTTTTCTGTACATCTTTTATATCTAGTACTAGAAAATGCTCTCCTATAGAAAGAGATGTGGTACTTTCATATGCTACAATACTAAACAAGAAAATATTTATAATATACAGATATCCCTCACTATGCCAGAGAGAAAACTACAACATATTTATCTCAATACCATCAGATTTTGTAAAAAAAAAAAAAAAAAAAGAGAGAGAGAGAGAGAAATACAGCACAAGATAAGAAAGCGCATTTAAGATGACATCTTATACACAAGTCTGCTGCTCTTAACACAGCAAGGGACATGACTGTCACAGCTATCCGCATTAGTAAAGACCAGAACATTATGATTAGCTTTACAACTGCTAACACACAGGGTCCCTACTATATTAATGACACTAAGATTGCACGCTCCCTCTTTGAAATGTGAAGCACAAGTGAGAAGCTGGCTGAGGAACAGACTCAGAGCTTTCCCTTCTAACTATTATCTCACCTACAAGATATTATGCCTTTGAAACCCCTCCTGAAGGCAACTGGGGATTTTTTTTTAATACAGAAAAATCTCTTTCCATATAAACGGGTATATGATCACTTTCTGAGTAAAACAAAAAATAGAAATCTTGACATGCTTTATGTCTAAGAGTCTGAAATACCTACCAGAACAACTGGAGGAGATGAAATACACATAGTCAAAATCTTACAGATAATGAGTCTCACCTTACAGATGCTGAATCTCTTTAATCTGAATCTGCAATAACAGTTACTTCAGAGGATTAGAAAATAGAAATTAATTTTGTATACTGATACATAATTAACACCTAAGAAAAGGTTAATCAACTAATATTACAATAGTAAAATTACAGCCATGTTGGTCTAAGGCTACAAGGCAAAACTGGTATAGATTACCTCAGTCACATGAGCATGAAAAGGTCACAAACACACATGAAAGCATGTCCTTTTCCCAAACTACTTCAGTTCACCTAATACAGCTCTTCTCTTGCTGTACACTTATGTTAGTAAAGCGCTTTCAGGTATCTGCTGCATATGCACTAACATAAGGTCACTGAAGGCTTTGCAATGACAATCAACATGCTTGGTACTACCATTCTCTACATAGCCTACTGGAGAAAATTTTTCCTAGTGACTTCTATAGAAAGGACCTGTGTTACATATTCTACACAGAATTCAGTTATCTCAAAATGCATACATTCCTACCTTTGGATGAGAGGACAGCAGCTTACACCCGTATCAATATTCAAGTGATTAACAGCATTCTACATGACCAGAGAACTGAACAGAAAAAAATAAAACACCAAAACCATTTGAAACTGAAAATCATAAAAAAAAACCCATGCCAGTAAGTTGCATTCTTAACAATGCTTTCTTTGCAAAAAGTTTGACATCATTATTTAAAAAAAAAAAAAAAAACAAACCACACCACAACTACAAGGCAGGAAAAACTCAGGCTATTAACAATGCAATATTGTGATACAACCCCAATGACTCAAATCTGAACTTCACTAAATTAAATTAATTTTTTAAACTGCTTCCATGCAACGTCAGAACCATCGTAAATCATGTGTGGCTACTACTTTCATTGGGCATCTTAAACAGCAGACTATAATCTGGAGCTTTGTAGCTACTGCCCTACACTATAGCTTTTAGGGGAACAGCAGCAGACAAAAAAAAAAATCCGAAACCAAACCCCAACCTTAGATTAGAAACTACCAGATTAAAAACAACTGAATACCAACTAAAAATTAACTTTTGGAGTCACTCAAACATAATCTTAGAAGAAAGAAAAAAAGAAAAAAAAAACACCTCATGCATGGTGTCATCCAACAGCTTCTGCAGAGATCCTAGTTACATGCTGCTGTCTGCCCAAATCTCCAATTGCTGAACTGCACAAGAGGCAATGAAAATAGAGAAACGCCTTCCTAATGTTACTTTGCACAAAAGTAATTGTTGCAACTGACACCTGACACTGCCAGAGATGTCAACTGATCACAAAGAACAAGAGTCAGGACTGACCCAGGATAGATGGTAAGATGGTAACACAACATTATCCATCGCTTTAACAGACATGAAAAGCCTTGCTAGCCTTGCTGCTGCAGCACGGGGTGCTATATTTAACAGACTATCACGAAGGACCTGGTTATCTAAAAAACGCAAGACAAACAAGGCTACTTACTAGCAACAATCTGAAGCACCACACAAAAAAGGAGATTGAATTTTACTGTTTCTTTAGCTAATAAGGCTGCAAAAGCAAAAGCCATGTACTTGGGATTTGTGGCACAACAAATTCCCACCTTACTCAATTGTGACTCTCCGACGGTTTTTGTAGTTTGGAGAAATTGCCTAGCTTTCCTTCCCAGGATGTCAGCCACAACAAAGTCATGACAGTGCAACACAGGATATAACACTAGACTTCACTGGGCAGTCCCAGGTATAACGAGACCTCTCCCTAAACCACTATATCCTGTCACTGGTGATTATTTATTGCTACACCTTCCCATCGTGGTAGATGCTCTGAGGAGAACAAAGTACAGCACACAGATGTTTTCAATACATGGCTGAACAATCTAATTTACATTAAGGCTTCACAACATTTTACATCCTAAGACCTAGCTTCTTCAGTCCCTCTCAACTCCACCAAAATTAACCCAAGAGGAAACACTGGTTTGCTGGATGCCTGCCTCAAGCAGAATGAGATACTACTTTAACCTGAATCAGTAGAGAGAGAGAAGGAAAAATCAGGTTTATCTACCACATTTTGAAAAAGTGAGGACTCCTTTTTTTGGAGTGACTCTAGTTGCCTTCAACTTTTGAAGACAAGCTATCTTATTTTAAAAAAATATTTATTTTCCTACTTAAGGACAAGTCCTTGTCAACACATGAATCCACCTAACCATGCCCCTTAATATATGGGCCTGAAAGAAAAAAAGCTAAAAAAAGTCACTGAGCTCATGGAGGCTGAGTATATAACTGGATTTTTTTTTTTTAATAGTCCATCCTCCACCACCTGAGAGCTGAACAGGCTGTGTACACATCATTCTCGTAAGGAAACTGAACATCCTCTAAGTGGTCTAAAGCACAGATTTTAACTAGCACTCCTTTATGCAAACTTTCTGCCAGGACATCGACAACAAGGAAATGGAAAGCATACAATCCAAATGAAAAGTTCAAGCAAAGGGGAAGAAGGTATAAGACAGACAGGTGTAAGTATTTTATAAAGAGCTAGGGAGGAAAGAGACAAAGACTGGCTGGGCAAAGAAATTCAGAGCTTGGCTCATCTCTGCAGCCCTGTGTCTCCCAAAGCTGAGGAAAGCCTGGATTCTTGGAGTCTGTTCCAAGCTTCTTTGTTCTTCTCACATCGATGAACTCACTGGCAAAACATTCATCTCCTCCAGTGCTAGTCCATTTCCTACTGCCATTGACATTACTACATTAGTTTAAAAGGCAAAGGCCTATGCAAATATGTTTCAACCCAACAGATCACCCACAATGGTAGCAGTAAGAAGTCATACTATGCTGTTATGTTTGCCCTAATTTTATTTTTAACTACATAAAGAGCATTAGGGTTGCAAACTCTCACACACACAAAAATTAAGAAAAGCTACAGTTAAGACTGCTTTGTGCACTTGCGTTGTCAAGATGGTCTGTACTTAAAATCCCACATTCTATGCTCTTGAGATGGGCCTTCTCTAGAAATGAACTGAGAAGAACAAGAGAATGTCTGTTCTTCCTTAATGCCCTACTGGTTTGAAAAGTTAAAGAAACTGTGATACATACAAAGCACGAGACTGCAAAGAAAAAAGGCAAAACAAAACCAGAGAATAAGGCCACCAAAAGCCATCCTTGGCACAGAGTTTCTATATGACAGTAGGCTAGTCCTTTCCCCTGCTTTACAGTTATTTTTTGTATGTTTCTTATTTTACAGATATCTATTTAGATAATCTGCAATCCAACTTGTGTACGTACTCAGCATGCCCAGCGGCAATTAGGACCTGTGCTTTAAACATATGAATTGCTTTACACTGCAAAATGCAAATGGAGACATGACAGTATTTTAATAACATTCCTGCCAGATGAAGGAAATTCATTATTATTAATGAAGTACTTAAGTGTTATGGTTATAACAAGCAAAGGAAGACTCAGGAGTAGCTTAATAAATCTGCTCTTTGGGAGCTAATACAGTTTAAATGAAACTGGAGCTGCACGGAAAACAGTAAGTATAAAACAAAATACTAGACAGCAGTGAGTTAATTGAATACAATACATCTTAATGCCATGCCCCCACAAAACAAAGAATGATGTGAACATATGCATTCACATAGTTAAAAGATATAGTTACAACTGCTTAAGCTGAACCGTGAACACTGTGCAATTCAGACCTCACACACAAAAAAGCCCAGCCTGAACAGCAAATCAGGAGATTAGGTTGTAAATAGTCTAAGAAGTGCAGTTACATGCTTACAGAAGCTAGAGAAGTCTATGCAACTTTTAAGAAAAAAAATGTGTTAAAAGATGTTAGATATCTTTTAAATACCTAACTTCCGAACAAAAGAGGAAAAAGACACACAAACACACCCCCCCCCAAATATCTACCTTACTGCAGTAAAGCATCCAAAGCTCATACAGCCTCTCTCGCGATGCCATTCCTTCCCCTCTTCTTTTCGTCGATACCGGCTACTGTTGTTCAAGATCCTACCATGCTCAGTTCCCAGGTGCTCTTTCCGCAGCTTTTGCTTTTTTATTACAGTTATATCATAACCCGAGAAGAAGCCAAGGATGAAATAACACGGTCTCAGTCCCTCCTTTTCGGGTAAACAACGTAGCACAACACAAGCATGTCCGTTCTTTGCCAGCGCTGCTTCGGTTCTAATCTCTGAAAGTGAAAACATACCCTTCAGGCCTTTGGTGCAGGAAGGAAAAAAACAAATCCGTACTTAAAGCCCACAGACGACCTCGGGAATTAGGCGGCGGCAGGTCGCATTGCTTTCGCCTCTGACATTATCACCCCCACGACGGAGAAGTCTGGCTTCTAGTTTTCGTGGCGCTTT